GTTCTTTCATGTGGCAAAATGTGTGTTTGTTTGTTTCTATGGGTTGTGCTGTTAACAATTGACACTGAAAGCACAACTAGGTAATTTTAGGTGTACAAATGTGGCCATACTCTATACAATCTGATTATACAATCTCTGTATAATCTCCTTTAGATTTAACAAAACTATATAATGGGATGGCATACCATCTATCCAATTGCTCTGTATCCAAGCAAGCAGGCCCTTGCACTACATCAGGGGTGTCCCGTGGGTTGCATGGAGCCCCAGGGAATTTATCATGCGACCTGAGCCCATCTGAAGGGACACTGGGGTAGCCAGGCAAATGCACGAGTGGAGAGATGCTGGGGATGTGGTGAAAAAAAGTTGATGGGTAAAGGGTGTGGGCTTTAACCATTTCCATACCGGGCACTTTTACCCCCTTCCCTCCCAGGCCATTTTTCAGGTTTCAGCACTCTCACACTTTGAATGACAATTGCGCGGTCATTCAACATTGTACCCAAACTAAAATTTTATAATTTTCTTCACACAACTAGAGCTTTCTTTTGGTAGTATTTAATCACCGCCGGGGTTTTTATTTTTTGCTAAATTAACAAAAAAATAAAAAAATTTGAAAAAAAAAAAAAACACGTTTTTCTTTGTTTCTGTTATAAAAGTTTGCAAATAAATAATTGTTCTTCATAAATTTAGGCCAAGATGTATTCTACTACATGTCTTTGGTAAAAATAACCCAAATTAGGATGTATTTTTTAGTTTGTAGGAAAGTTATAGAGTTCACAAACTATGGTATAGATCTGAATATTGATCAATCCTGAAGTACTGACAGCCAATCTAATTTCTTGAGGTCCAAGAATGTCAGAACAGTACAGATAACCAAATGACCCCTTTTTGCAAAGTAGACAGTCCGACGTACTTCATAAGAGGCATGGCAAGTTTTTGAAGTTGTATTTTTTTTGTCATAATTTTTCGGAAAATGAAAAAATTAAAAAAATTATTTTCACTATTTTTTTTTACATACTGTCACCAGTGCAGTACAGCATCATCATATAACTGGCATGGCGGTGATCAGGGACACTGACTGGTGACAGTATGAAAAAATATATATATATATATTTATTGTTTTTTTGTTTGTTTGTTTTTTTTTTTATTAAATTTTTTTCTTTTTTTAAGATTTTTTTTTTCATATTTCACTATGTCCAAAGTAGTACAATGTTAGCATAGTAACATTGTACTACTTTGGGGAAGTGATTAGTATTTTTTTTTTCTTTTTTACACAATTTGCTTATAGCAAAGAATTACTTTGCTATAAGCAAGCATTTACCTGAAACATCGATTGCCTCAGCAATCAAAGGAGCTTTTTCTCAAAAACGGAAATGCCAGTGATGCTGGGAAAAAATGTTACTTTGGCTTTAAATTTACCCGCGCTAACAGATGGCTGGCTTCTTATATGAAGGTTTTTCGGATGGTTTGCTTTTACCATTCTTTTCAGGTGAAGGTTGTTGTATTTGTGACAACTTTCCTTTAGTTTGTATTCACTTTGATATTGTACAGGGCAAGCATTCAGAAGAAGTTAAAGAAGGAAGAATGGATTTTCAGATATCACTTTTAGAAATTCTTCCTAAAAAGGAGCCACTGACTTTAAAATTAATCCATCATTTATCTTATCCCAGGGGTCTTTCTTTAAATGATGACATTAACTCTTAAATGTGTTCAGCTTCTACTCCTTTTTCATGATGCCTTGGTTAGGCAGGTGGGAGTTGCGGCTCTTTGGTAAAGGCTGTTATTAAATCTGCCTTTTGTTTGTTACCCATTCATCCTGCTGCTTTTAATTTATTGGGAATTTATTTTCAGGGCAGGTATTATTTTGACAAATGTCCACCCATGGGGTGTTTATTGTCATGTTGCTACTTTGAGCTCTTCTCCACCTTTTTAGAATGGGCAGTCATAAAACTGGTTCCGAAAAATTTGTTATGTTTATTGGATTACTTTCTGTTTATTGGGAAGACAAATTCTACTGATTAACCTTAAGCCGCTGCGGCCCGAATTAGGGTTGATATGAAAGGTGCAGCCGGGATGACCAGTATGACATCTTTGAGGAGACTATGACAGCTGAACTTGCACAGAATATCACATGGCAACAGTAGCGGTGAGCTTGGCATCTTTTAAGGGACTGGGGGAGCTCCATGTAGCACAGTACCTGGGACTAAAACTCTTGTACCCAGCTGGTCCTGTTCAGTGACTTTTGCTGAGTGAGCTGTGCTTGCATGCATGGATGTATTACTGCTTCCCCCTGCAAATGCACATCTTTCTACTGCTGCTTGCTGCTCCTTTACTATTAACCAAGCTACTTGATATTGCTGTTTTCTACTCCTTTTTGCTCTGCTGCTACATGCTAGCTTATTGCTTTACTGACTGGGATTGCTGGCAGCCAGCATATGCAGCCACAGCCCCAGGGTGGGATGCTTATAGGACAAGGACTATGGAAAGAAGCAATGGGATGGACAGTACCTAAATCACCATCCATCCATTACATCCCAGGGCTTGAGATAAATGTATTTACTGGTGGCAGCAATCATTTGCTGATATAGCGCTGTAGCTATTTACATCCTAAGGCTTGAGACAATAGTACCTCCAGGTGGCAGTAACTACTTGCTGTTATAGCACTGGAGTCTCAAGTGGGTTTGTCCCCCATTTGTATTTAAAGCCAATTGATCCCTAGCTATATCCATGCTACAGTAAACCTTATTTTCTTTAATGGTTATTAATTAAATTAATTGGCAATATTCCGTGTTAGGGGGCAAGGCGAGAGTCTTGCGGTGTGCATGTGTGCCTGGGCTATGATTATTTTCATCTGTCATTTGTTTTTAACTGTGATTAGTGGAAGTATCTTTGTTATTTTTTCTTTATTTAATTGTTATGTTTGTATTAAATATTATGTTTTTTGGATAATTACCACTGTGGTCCTAATACAGAACTTCTTTCAAATGGTTAACCCTCTTTGGGATCTCCATATAAAGCGTAAAGTGTGATTGAAAACACAATCTCTGCTGGGTCTTTTGGCTTTTGAAACTGGATGCCAAAGGGCAGGATTGTTTCTAAAAGGTTGTACCGTTCTATTGCTGGCTACTCTTCGCATTTCATTATGACAACTTCTGCTATTCATGAGGACTTCCTTGTTTTGAAATGATTTTTATCCTCCTTTAACAGTCGTATTTTATGGCAAGCTCCTTTTTGCTCTGCTACTACCCTTTATTTACATAGTTACATAGTTAGTCTGGCTGAAAAAAGACAAGTGCATCCAGTTCAACCATTAAAAAAAAGTTATAATCCTATACCCACAGTTGATCCAAAGGAAGGCAAGAAAAAACCCATCAAAGCATGATCCAATGTGCTCCTGCAGGGAAAACAATCCTTCCTGATCCCCCGAGAGGCAACTAGATATTCCCTCGATCAATTTACCTATAAATGTTAGTATCCAGTTTTATTCTGTGTATCTAGGAAAGAATCCAGGTTTTTTTTAAAGCAATACATTGAGCTAGCCAGAACCAACTCTTGAGGGAGTCTATTCCACATTTTCACAGCTCTTACTGCGAAGAAACCTTTCCGTGTTTGGAGATGAAATTTATTTTCCTACAGATGTAAAGAGTGCCCCCTTGACCTCTGTGATGACCTCAGGGTGAATAGCTCTACACTGAGTTCACTATATGAACCACTGGTGTATTTATACATGTTGATCATATCCCCCCTTAATCTCCTCTTCTCAAGAGAGAATAAATTCAGTTCCTCTAATCTTTCCTCATAGCTGATCTCCTCCATGCCTCTTATCAGTTTGGTTGCCCTTCTCTGTACTTTCTCCAGTTCCCCAATGTTCTTTTTGTGAATTGGTGCCCAAAATTGAACTGCATATTCCAGATGAGGTCTTACTAATGATTTGTACAAGGGTAATATGATCTCTCTCTCTGGAGTCTATGCCTCTTTTAATACAAGAGAGGATTTTGCTCGCTTTAGAAACTGCAGCTTGGCATTTCATGCTATCATTAAACTTGTGATCCAGAACTCCCAGATCCTTCTCAACCATTGATTTCCCCCAACTGTACTCCCCCCCCCCCAGTATATATGATGCATGCATATTCTTAGCCTCCAAGTGCATAACCTTACATTTATCAACATTAAACCTCATTTGCCACATAGTTTCCCAATTACCCTCATCCCTCCTGGGATAGCCGGGCTGCCATCAGACTGGAGTGGCCCCGGACTTATATTAGGAATATTTTTATACTACAAACGAAGCTCTTGAATGGAGCAAAACATGTTGAGTTACCTTTTATTTTCTTTCTGCTTTTGCAGCAGTTTATTGATTTCACATTGAACACATGGTGTTAGAGGGTGGAGATCAAATGAACATACTCACCTATTGGAAGGTTTCAAAGAGACAATATTTTGGGCAGACATTATGAGCTATTTTTTTGTGGGGGAGGGGGGGCGGGCAGTTGATATTAGCCTCAGCATATAGTGCTAGCAGACCTTTTCCCTCTTCCCTTTAGCAATAGTCTACAGCAGCGGTCACTAACTGGCGGACCGTTGTCCAAGAACAGCCCAAGCAGCACTCCCGCCTGGACCGCTAGCCCACCAGACTGGAATGACAGATCTGCCACTCAGCAGGCTGGTCATCACGGCAACCAATGACATCACGTGTGTGCCCCGCCCCTTGCAGCTCACTGTCACTCCGGCTCCCGCTCCCTGCCTGTACACAAGCATGCAGCTGATCCTTCAGCAAGGATCCCGGCAAGCTCCTGTCTGCCCTCAAGGTAGGGTGTGGTCTTACAGAGGCACTCTGATGGGCACATTTAATGTTAAAGGGTTATTCTGATGGGTACATTTAATGTTAAGGTGCATTCTAATGGCCACAACATAGAATGTGCCCATCAGAGTGCCCCTTAACATAAAATGTACCCATCAGGGTGCCCCTTAATATAAATGTGCCCATCAGAGTGCCCTTTATTTTATGTTAACGGGCACTCTGGCGGGCCCTTTTTATGTTAAGGGGCACTCTGACGGGCACATTTTATGTTAAGGGACACTCTGATGGGCATCCTTTATGTTTAAAGGGCACTCTGATGAACACCTGTTATGTTAAGGGAGCACAAATGGGCACATACTGTGGAAAGGGGCACTCTGATGGGCACGTGTAATAGAAAGGGGCACTCGAATGGGGAAATATGATGGAAAGGGGTACTTTGAGTGTAAGGGGGAACTCTGACGGGAATACCTGACGTAAGGTGGCACTGTGATGGGGATGCCTGATGTAAAGGGGCACTCTGATGGGGACAACTGATGTAAAGGAGCTCTCTGATGGGCACACCTGATGTGATGGGAATGTAGTGGTTTATGTAAGAATTTATTCTAAATACGTAGGTGTCCTTTCCCTTAAACAAAATATCGCAGTGCCTCCAGCCGTTAAAATACTGCAAATGTTTAATGAACCAATAATTTGGACACCTTAATAATTTGATCACCACTTAATAATATACCTTGAGTTCTTTTAGCCAGTATGATTTCGTACCATATACACAAAAATTGCCTTTTTAATAAATAAATAAATACATTTATTTATGTACAAAATTTATATATATATATTAATACAAACACAAAATACTGGTGATAAATGTATACTTGTACATACAATCAAAAATATGACAGGCTAATTTCTATATGATCAAACAATATATGATAATAGTAAAGAGATGAAAAAATCAAATTTAAGTATAAGTTGTAACCTTATAGTGCTTCAGAAATTATTTCAATTTTCTCGTGGCCATAGAGAAAAAAGAAAAGTTTCTCTGATAAATTGCATTACAACAAAACTACCAATCAGTTAAATGCAATATCTAATTTCAATATAAAAATCAAACAGTTTTTAGCGATAATTATATATAGATCTTAATATTTCTAAACACACAATACAAATGCTATCAGTCTTTGGAAAATTGGAAATATCAAATAAACTACAGTATCCTAGCAATCTCACCACTCCCAGAATCTTGATTTTGAGGCCTTCCCAGTGGGATGCAGTTGGGCCTTCAAATGGTCCTCAAGACAAAATGGCAGCTGGACTCCTTCAGCAAAATGGCCGCAGGTATCAAGTGAGGGATAGTGCAGTAAGTGTTAGCACTAGGAGAGATGATATATATAGGAAGTTATAGCAGCCTTGATTGTAGTGTTATAGAAGAAGTGTAGAAGTTCAGAGGTTCAGAAGTTTAGCAGAAGTTTTAAAAGATTTAGAAGTAGTTTTAGAAGATCTTTAAGTTTTTCAGATGGTTCAGATTTCAGCTTCTTCAGATTCCTTCAGCTTTTTTCAGATCTTTAGATTTTAGCTTTTCAGATTTTTCTCCTCTTTTCTTTTAGATGTGAGGTGCATGGCTTTTTATACCATCCAAACCTTTGTTTTAAAAGACCCTCCCAACAGGCTTGTTGATTGGCCAGTCGAGAAGTGTGTGTACATAAGATATGAAGTGTTCACTGGGGGCAGCCAGGGATCACAAAACAATTTGTGTTTTAATGATGACTCATGCTTTGATTGAAACCAAAATATCTTTAGGTATCAGATATATATGTCTTTTTTCAAGTATAGTTGATTTCACTACTAATTCTTGGATAAGAACCATAGAAAGATCTACATACATTTAGTTTCTCATTTCCCTGATATTTAAACTGTTTTGAAATTTTTGATTTCTTTTGGAAATGTATAATTGACACCAATTCACAAATCATCTTATTCTTCATCATTTCACACTTAATTGAGTGGGATGCAATACCTAACCTTCTCAAAGATATTTTCCCTTGATAAAAGTGTTGGTAATATGCCTTTTGATAATGTCTTTGTGGGTAGATATATCAAGTTTTTAGCTTTATATGACCTAACTTTCACCTTCTTGTTTAAGGAATGAAGTTCCCATGAGTAGGAAAAACCCTCTGTTTACCTGTTGATTGTGTGGGAGTTAGGGTAAACAGCCAGTTATATTTTGACCTCAGTGGATAATAGTGTATTGTCACATTTCAAGAAGTCTTGTCTGGGAATCCACACTCCCACGGTTTTGTGTGAGCTCTCAGACAATCAGGTTTGGTTACCCTATTGTCACTTCCATACCTCGTATATGTTCACCTGCAGAAGTCCAAATAGTAGTGTTTGACTACCTATAATTAAGTTTCCTGCCATTGAAGTATCTCCTAGCTTCCCATAGACCACGGCATTTGTTTAGGAAACATATATCTGCCAGGTCTTAGACTAACCAACATCAGATCCCCCATTGTCTTTTCTGGGACTTTGTTTGATCACCTGTAGGAATTTCAATAGTAGTGTGTGTCTCATTGTCTTTCAGACACATTTCTTCCACTCACTGGTTTTTGTAACTTCCTAAAAGGTCATTTGAATTTCAACCAAGAATGTTAACCCATAACAGTCAGCTAGGATTCACAATTTTGGAATAAAATCATTTCTTAATAAATAGTCCCCCAAAAGTCACTACAGGAATACAGGATGTAAAGTTGCACTCTGATGGAGTTACCTAATGCAAGGGGGCACACTGATGGGCACACCCTATTTGGACCTCGGCCAGAAGAAAATTTTAGTGAATTTTAATTCAATACCCCAAGTCTACAGAGATAGGGACCATATCTAGATCTATACATTTAGTAAAAAACTGACCTGCACTTGAGAGGGATATATTTCTTATGCTTGTTGGAATTAGCATGTCAGACTTGCACACACATCCAACAGTGTTGTGGATAGCTTGCCGGCATTGGGCAGTGGATTACAAATCGATGGAGTAATTTTCCACCGTTCATTGTTGGGTTAAGTGAGAAGCTACGTCATATTGGCTTCTCTTCAGTCTTGGGGTTTATTGTATCCAGAATACTGAAGCTTCTCTTTTCATTCCTTTGTTGTCCATCCAGACAAAAATACCACTTTATATAATAAAAAAATCCTAATTATAAATTTACCGTATATACTCGAGTATAAGCTGAGTTTTTCAGCACATTTTTTGTGCTGAAAAACGGCCCCCTCGGCTTATACTCGAGTCAACATCTGCAGGGGGCTGCTGTCTCTTACCTGGCTCCGGTCCCACGACGATCTGGTCCAGGAAGCGCGGCTGCTCCTTAATTCGGTTCATCCACTGGATGTTCGCGCGGCTGCTTGGCTCCGCCTTCTCACCGGTGATTGGTAGCCAGAACTGTAGCTCAGGAAAGGCACACAGGCGGCCAATCACCGGCGAGGAGGCAGAGCTGAGCGGCCCCGCGAAAATCGAGTGAAGGAGATGTAGGTAAGTGTGCCGTGCTTAGGTGCTGCTGCAACCACATATGCTGGCTGCAGCAGCACCATACTGGAACAGGGGTCAGCAAGTGTCAGTGGGAGGAATAGTGCCCCATCATTGGTGTCACTGATACCAATCAAGGGGCATTATTCCTCCCACTGACACCAACGATGGGGCACTTTTCCTCCCCCCCACTGACACCAACGATTGGGCACTATTCCTCCCCCCCCCCACTGACACCAATGATGGGGCACTATTCCACCCCCCACTGACACCAATCATGGAGCACTATTCCACCCCCCACTGACACCAATCATGGGATACTATTCCTCCCCCCCACTGACACCAACGATGGGGCACTTTTCCTCCCCCCCACTGACACCAACGATGGGGCACTATTCCTCCACCCCCCCACTGACACCAATGATGGGATACTATTCCTCCCACTGACACCAATGTTGGGACACTATTCCTCCCACTGACACCAAAGATGGGGCACTATTCCACTGACACCAATAATGGGGTGCTATTCCCCCCACTGATACTAATGATGGGGCACTATTCCTGCCACTGATACCAATGATGGGGCACTATTCCTCCCACTGACACCAATGATGGGGCGCTATTCCTCCCACTGACACCAATGATGGGGCACTATTCCTCCCACTGATACCAATGATGGGGCACTATTCCTCCCACTGACACCAATGATGGGGCACTATTCCTCCCACTGATACCAATGATGGGGCACTATTCCTCCCACTGACACCAATGATGGGGCACTATTCCTCTCACTGATACCAATGATGGGGCACTATTCCTCCCACTGACACCAATGATGGGGCACTATTCCTCCCACTGACACCAATGATGAGGCACGATTCTTCCAACTGGTGTTCCTACCCTCGGCTTATACTCGAGTCAATACTTTTTCCCAGTTTTTTGTGGTAAAATTAGGTACCTCGGCTTATATTCGGGACGGCTTATGCTCGAGTATATACGGTAGGTAATTTGTCTTTTCCACTGGCCCATTGTGTGTGGGTATACACACCCCTGTTCTTTGTTCAAGCAAATATTGTTTTGTTGGAAACAGGGGCGGACTGACAACCCATGGGGCCCCCAGGCAATAGGGGATCATGGGGCCCCTGTGTCCTTGCCCAAACTCAAAAAAGCCTATGAAAAAGGTACCAGGGGAATCTCATGGGGCCCCCTACTGGCCCCAGGCCCTCGGGCAGTGCCCAAGTTTCCAAATGGTCAGTCCACCCCTGGTTGGAAATATTTCCAGTGTTAACCTCCCTAGAGGTCTGATTATGTCAGTATTTCTGTGCTCAATGCGGTACATTTTTTTACATGGAGATATGTATTTTTTTATTGTAGGCCTGTAATTTTTAGGAATAACTCAATGAAATCTGTCCGAACAAAAGTCTAGTAAACATCCCGGGTATGTTAAAATTTGAAAAACGAAATCATAAATTATAATTTATGTTCAATGATTTTTATTAAAAGGGTTTTGACATAACAGGATAATTCAATACGGTTCATAGCAGGTATAACAATACAGATTATTTTGTCGTAAGATCTTCACCATTTGGCTGAGGATTGTATATACGTATGATGCATAGACATGAGAGGTATGTTATGTTAGGTCTGAACCGTGTTGAGGTGGGTAGGTTATAGTTTGGGGGGTAAAGGATGGGAGTGTGTGGAGTAATGGGGGGGGGGGGGAGGGGGGAGGGGAATAATGAACCAGTCTAGAGATAGAGGTCTAAGTGTTAAGAGATTGGCTTATCAGGATTTTACAGAACAGTTTGGATTTTGTAACCAATGGGACCATTGAAATTTGAATGAATGATATGTGGAGTTATTTAGGGCTGATCTTCTTTCCATATCACATTGGAAGTTAAGGTCTTTTAATAGTGAGTTGAGAAAGGGGGTTTTTAGTAGTGTTCCATAGTTTTTTAGTAATATTAATTTTGGCAGCTGCTAAAGTGTGAATAATGATGGTACGAGAGTCTTTTGGGAAGTCCGCTATTCCAATGTGGAGAAGGGCTAGGGCAGGGTTTGGAGCTATGGAAGTTTCCGTAAGTGTTGAGATCAAGTGAAAGATCTTATTCCAATAGGATCTGAGTGATTTACACATCCATAATATGTGGAATGTGGAGCCTGGTTCCCCACAATGTCTCCAGCAGGCATGGGAATGCTGTGGGTAGTATAGTGAGAGTTTGGTGGGTGTTAAGTGCCATTGGTGTAAAATTTTCATATATGATTCCAAATGTGCACTACATCTAGACACTTTGTAGTAATTTTAAAGGTTTTTCCCAATTTTGTGATGTTATTGGCAGTGAGAGAATTTTCTCAGAATTGGTTAAAGAAGTAGTTTGAAGGGTAAATTGTGTATCTATTGTGTGCGTGTAAAAGGTTGAAATACCTTTTTTGGGATTTTGATTTTTTTAAAAAGTTGTATGCGGTAGTGGGGATTTTTGAAAGAAGCTGGATTTTTACTGTTTGCAGAGAGTGAGTTATTCTCAAGTAGGTGAAGTATTCAGTGTTGGGAAGGTTAAATTTCTTTTGGAGAATCGAGAAGTGATCTAGTTTATGGTCTGTGTATAGGTCTTGTATGTGTGCTATACCGCATTTGTCCCACTGTTGAAGCTTTAGGGAGGGTGTAGTGAGGTGTAACGTATTAAGTGGGGTAGGTATCAGTTTGGTTTCCAGAGAGTTAGATAATTGGAGATCATACCAGGCTTGAAGGGAGGCCTTGATGCACGGGTGTTTAAATAGGGATTTGGATTGAGGTATTTGTGGAAGGAGGAGTATATTACGTGGGACGAGAGGGAAGAGAGGAAGCGTTTCCATGGTGGACCAAGATTTTTCTTTAGTTGGATGCCACCAAAAATAAAGTTGGTTGAGAAGGGTGGCATTATAGTACAATTTTAGATGTGGGAGACCTGCTCCCCCTCTGGATGTAGGACGTATTAGGAGATTTGTGGTGCATCTAGGTTTCTTGGAGTTCCAGAGCCAAAGTTTGCAGCCAAAGAACTGCCTGTGGAGCTTGAAGCACTCATTTCCTTCCTAATCCTGATTGACACCAGGCTCAGGGAGAGGCCTTCACCTAAGGAGCATCTGCAGAGGCCTCCTAACTGATTGGCGCCTACGTTTTCTGTCCCACCCGTTCCTCCCTCATCTCCCACGCCTCCTGGGGATGGCTTGTCTGGCGGTGAGCCCATGCAGCTGGGGTTTGCTCACCTTTCCAAGGGGGAGCAGGCCTCTCTGCGTCGGGAGGGTCGCTGCCTGTACTGTTGTCTCGGTGGGCATTTTCGGCAGTCCTGTCCGGTCCATCCGAGAAACGCTCGCACCTGAGATCCTGTTGGGGGCAGATCTTGGGTGGAGTTTTCCTCGTCCCCGGTTTCCAGCAAATATAAACCGCTAATCACCGTTGTTCTCTTGGGCGGAAGGCTCGATGACGGCCCAGGCGTTGGTAGACTCTGGTGCTGGCGGGTTGTTTATGGACAGTTCGTTTGCTGCCCAGTACTCCATTCCTCTGCAGGCTCGAATTACTCCATTGGTCCTCGAGGCAATAGATGGCAGGCCCTTGCAACTGCCGCAGGTTACTCACGAGACCCTACAGGTGGAAGTAGCTATTGGGGCTGTTCACAGGGAGTTGGCCTGTTTCCAGGTAATTTCTTCCCTGCACTACTCCGTGGTTTTGGGATATCCCTGGCTTCAGAAGCACAATCCGACCTTTGATTGGCGGTCGGTCGAGATTCTCTCGTGGTCTCCACAGTGTGGGGCCGGTTGCATCCTCATCGTCCATACGATTGTGCCATCATAATGGCAGGGTGTATCCTCGTTCGGTTGCGGAGAATCAGGCCATGGAGGAGTACATTGTGGATGCTCTTTCCCGGGGGCACATTCGCAAGTCTACTTCTCCAGCAGGAGCTGGCTTTTTCTTCGTGAAAAAGAAGGGTGGTGAATTGAGGCCTTGCATTGATTTTAGGGGTCTCAATCGAATCACGATTAAGAATGCTTACCCAGTTCCTTTGATAACCGAGTTGTTCGACCACCTCAAGGGAGCAACGGTCTTTACTAACCTCGACCTTAGGGCTGCGTACAACCTCATACGGATCAAGGAGAGCAACGAGTGGAAGACTGCGTTCAACACCAGAACCAGCCACTATGAATCCCTGGTTATGCCCTTCGGGTTGTGTAACGCGCCCGCGGTCTTTCAGGAGTTCATTAATGATGTCTTTCGTGACTTGTTGCAGCAGTGCGTGGTGGTTTACTTGGACG